GTACTTTCACTGTAGAAAATAAACCTGGGTTTCCCATATAAGATGAGAAGATAATTCCGTTGTCCAAATTAGTTCTTGAAAAGAAACTGCTGTAATTAGATCCATAAAGCACTGTTGTTATTTTGAGCCACATATTTCCATACAAGGTGAATGGAATGGAAATATAAACATACATCATATATTATCAACAACTATCTTCATACACAATTATAATTCCCACAGCTATGTCCTATATGCTTACATTTCTTGAGTGTTATAATTTTTTTTACATTTACACATCTCTACATTTAAAAAGGAAACAGGGTATTTGCTGTTGTTTGTAAGTGGCCCTTTTAGAAAAACGCCAGCCATTTATAAGATTTAATGCCTTAAAGAATTTAAGATCCTCTAGCAAGGAATTTAAGTTCTTGAGACAAAGGACAGTACCTTACTCATTATGTGTTTCCTGTACTGTACAGTAAGTATTTAATAAGTGTGTGTTGAATAAACAACCTCTTCTTATCCTGAGTGCTATCCATACAGAGATCTCATAACTGTCATGGTCATGTCAACCCAAAGTAAGCTTTATTTTTTTTATGATTGACATCTTTTATATCAATTTTCCACAGATCCACATGGCCCACACATTTGGCATTTTAGTTGCAATGCTCTATTTCATTGTATTGCTATGCCACAGACTGCTTAACTACTCATCTCAAGCCTCTGGGATCAGAGCATCTATTCACAGCAGGATTCTAATGTGTCAATAAAGCTTATTTCCAGGGGTCTACTACATGAGGCTTCTAAGGGGCGACTAAAGGGGGTTCCTCCTAATATGAGTTAAACCATGAAACATCTCATTGAAAGAAAAATACGTCAAAGTGGAAAAGGCATTTCCCACATACGTAAATGGGTTTTATTGTACAGTATGACAAATGTTTGGCAGAGGCATCATTTTATTATAAGCTGAAATACTCCAAGTCATATGGTAAGATAAACATAAACATATACACAAACAACTGCATATCTTAAAACTGATCTAATTAAGTGAACTTCCCAGGTTCCCTAATTTATTCTTAAAAGATGTGATTCAAGAAGTATCCTACACCTGATCATGTTGGACAGTGATTAGACTAAAATTACACTGACACAAAATGAAAAGTAATCTCTCAATGTAAAAACAAAATTAAGTTCCAGGGACCCCCTTAGCCTCTACTCCGGGGGGGGGGGGGGCCTTTTGCCCCACAGCGAGAGCACACAGTAAGAAAAAAAATTAGCCCTGGCGGGTTTGGCTCAGCGGTTAGAGTGTCGGCCCATGGACCAGAGAGTCCCAGGTTTGGGTCCCGCTAAGGGCAAGTACCTCAGTTGCAGTTTGTCCCCAGTCCCAGTTGGGGTTGTGCGAGTGGCAACCAGTCGATGTGTCTCTCTCACATCTATGTTTCTCTCTCTCTTTCTCCCTCTCTCTCTCCCTCCCACTCTATCTGAAAATACAATGCAAAAATGTCCTTGGGTGAGGATAAAAAAAAAATTATACAATTCAAAAGTGCAATCCAACTTTCAAAGGTAATGGAGGGTTAGTTACTAAGACACCAAGAGGACTAGATTTACTTATGAGGCAGTCAATCCCATAGCAATGATTCAAATGGCAGAACTCCAAGACTCTGCTATATAATAGGTATCCAAGGCAGGGGGGGGGGGGGTGGGGGAGAGATATATATATAAAAATGTCATGAGGCTATCTGTCATATAGTTGAGTCTGTGGCTATTCAAAAAAAAAAAAAAGCCTCTAGTTACTGAGAGCTGGCATATTTCAGGGGATTCATAATAAACCGAGATTTTTAAACAAAACACAGATATAAAAGTATCTTGTACTTTGGAAAGGTAAAACATAAAGTGCTTTTGAAAACTGTGTTGGAACCCAGCAATTTGTTTTGTATATATTTTAATTATACATGTTTTACTTTATAAAGTTTGAAAACCAAACTATCTTTAAATTTAAAAGACTACACTCTCCTATGCAGTACAAACACAAACATCAAATTCAAATAATTTGCTGACACCAAAAACAAAACTACTGTGGACGTAAGTTCTCACTACATACTTCATTTTACAGTGATTCACAATGAGTAATTACATTTTAAAACTCATTTTCTTTAGAATGCCAGTCTTTTTTAATTTTTTAAAAAGAATTCCAGATCTGTGTATCATAATCACTACCTTAAAAGAGAAAATCAGAGGTTTCATATCTGACTCTCTTTGTTATTTTTCACAGTGATACACAGTTACCTATTTTAGTCCCAGTTTTTTTGTTTTGTTTTTTTAAGTTTTACTGTAAGTGTCAGCTGTTTGGAATTTATACTGCACTTCCTCATTGACACAATGGCAGTAAAAATTCTTCCAAAGCCTATTTAACTGATATGTAGATGGTACTTATTGAGTCTTCAAATTCCTCTCCCATTAGCAGAAAAGGTTTCAGTGCATGTTTTAAACATCCTTCCCGTATTGCTAAAGTTTAGTCAGCTGATTTTGGAAGAACATTTTGGTAGGAAACATGAGTTGACTCACTACACATTATTACAAAAGCCTCCTAACGGGTCTCTCCCAGCCTCCAGCCTCTCCCTCCTATATTCTGTCATCCATTTTGTTGCCAGTTATCTTAATCATAAATCTGGCTATGTATCACTCCCTGCTTAAAAACCTTCTTATCCAAAGAACTTTACAGCCTAGAAGACTCTTCTCAACTGGTACCAACCTACTTTAGTTCTTCCTTGCCTCTATATATAGGTATATAATAATCAATACATATATTAACATTAAAAATATACTCTTAGATAGCAGGCTGACAGCTGTTTGAGGGGGATGGAGGGACTGTAAAAAAAGAAAAACTAAAAACTCATGGACACAGACAACAATGTGGGGTTTGCAGGAAGGGGGACGTGGAGGAGGGTATGGGAAGATAAATGGTGATGGAAGGAGACTTGACTTGGTGTAGTGAACACAATACAGTTTACAGATGATGTGTTGTGGAACTGTGAACCTGAAACCTGTATAATTTTGTTAACCAGCATCACCCCAATGAACTCAATAAAAAGGACAAAAATAAATAAATAAAACAAAGAGTATGTTTTCATGCCATATATATATATATATATATATATACACATATATATACAGTCTTAGTTATGTTTGCAAACACATTGAGTAATAGATTACTAAAACTCCAAATGTATAAACTACTTCACCTTAAACATTGGTAAATGTTAATATAGAATGCCATGGCAAAAACAGTCTTAACTAGAAAAAAACTAGTAGCTTCCCATTCTCACTAGTTAGAGCTTCAAAATTCCTGCAATGGGGTGAACTTACTTAATTGAAAAAGAATAAACCAAAGATAAGAAAAAATGTAATTAGTTTCCTGAAGGTCAGCAGCCCTGCATTGAAGTTTTCCATCATCACCTTTGACCAATTCTCAAGGCTATGATTTAGTAAAAAAAAAAAAAACCATTCTCCATCATATTCTATAACTCATAAGGAAAATATACCCATGCAAACAATAATTTAATACAAGAGCTAAAATAAAGTTGAGTCCAGAAAGAAGCTAGAGTGTTGGCGATTTGCTTCCACTATGTTTGGGCGCCTCCAACATGAATACCGTACATGTTCAAGGAAAGCTTCACAATTCAAAAGCAATTTCACATAAATCCTGTAACTTCAGCAGAGTAGAGCTTATTCATCCAGATTTCAGACATTACAAACCCAAGAAAAACAAGGATAAAGACTGGCCAAAGAAATATAGCACTTCGTTTCCAAAAAGGTATTCTTACTACAACAACAAAATGGCCCAAGAAAAATGAGCACAAACACACACCCCTTTAAGTCCATCACTAAATTTAGCTCTGTGGACCTACTAGTGACTCTACTTATAAAATGATCATCCAAATTTCAAATTATGATAACCTGGACCAAAAGTTACATCCAATTCCGGTCTCTTCCCAAAGGACATTAACTTCACAAGCAAGACCAAGCTCCATTTCTCAGAACAGTTTAAATATGAACACACCCTCGGCGCGCACCCAGCATAATCCCCGAGGTCAGAAACGGATCCAGAGTAGTCCCCAGAGAGTCTGGGGGACACAGCTTTGCGCAAGATGGGGGTGGGGAGCACCGCAAAAGGCTCGGTCAAACAGGAGATGGAGGAAGAGAAACCAGACAGGAGACCGGTGCCCAGGAAGGTTTGGGGCGCCAGACCCTGAATCTCGGTTGTGAGCACTGTCCACACACAACTGGAGCGGCTCCGCCTCCCGACCCCGAGTCCAGTCGCCGGGCCAGGCCCCTCCACTCCCAGGCACCTCGGGGTAACTCCAAGCGTCCCAGCCCTAGGAAACAGCAATCCCAAAGGTCCCTGGAGGCGGACACCCACCTGGCCGAGCCCCACCAAGGACTGGGCCCACCAAGCCAAACAGCAGCAGCCACTGGAATCGGAGTGTCCCAAAGAGCGAGCCCGCGCCAGATCCCATCTCGGCTGATCCGCAGGTTCTTCTCAACATACGGTCGCTTCTACCTCCGCCTGCTCCATCATTCCCAACCCTGCCGGGGCCCCAGAGCTGGCAGGGAAGCGCGCGCCCGCGGACGAACACGCGCTCGCCACTGACGCAACTCAGCTCTTGTCCGAGCTCGCTCCCGACATCGCGCTCGCTACCGCTGACGTAGGGAAAAATCTAGTCCCAGGCGAGAGAATGGGATTGCTATCTGGCCACTAAAACCCACACTAGTCTGCCCCGCCCATTCACTGTCCACGCCCATTTCTATTCCCAGGCCCTCCTACTTTGGGGGTCGAAGGAACCGATTGGAGGAAGTACTCCGAGCTAAAGAAGGAGGAGCGTGAGTCTCAGAAGAGGAATTGAGCTGCAGAAGCAAAGCACAGCCCCGCCCCCTTGCGCAACATTTTCTGATTGGTTGTCGGGGGTTTGGGCGGAGCGCTGAGATGTGTGCCCATTGGTTGTTTGGCGGCGAACAGCGGAGCTAAGGCCTGACCTGGCAGACCTTGGGTCGCCGGTGCCCGCCGGGGCTTGTGGTTGAGGAGGCCCGGTATCTGCCACTGGGCCCGGGAAGATGGTGCTGGGTGGTTGCCCGGTGAGTTACTTACTTCTGTGCGGCCAGGCGGCTCTGCTGCTGGGGAATCTGCTTCTGCTGCATTGTGTCTCTCGGAGCCACTCGTACAACGCTACCGCGGAGCCCGAGCTCACATCCGCCGGCGCCGCCCACCCGGAGGTCTCCGCCGGTGCTCGGAGCTGGGAATATGGCGACCCCAGCTCTCCAGTCATCCTTTGCTCTTACCTGTAAGCTACCCAGTCGTCGAGGCAGGTGGAGATGGCGATAGGGCAAGGGGGGATATATATGGATGTTGTGCTGGGAGAGGACGGGAGAAAGGCTGCTTTATTTTTTTGCCCGGACCCTCTCCACCTGAGTCAACACGCGGGAGGTAAATATCATGACAGGTTTCTCAGTCCCCTCACCTATGCAGGGGAAAACCTTGCGTGTGGGTAGCAGAGCCTTTGGGATCCCGAAAGAGGAGAACTAGGGAGGAGTGACATCATATAGCCTCCGGAAGAAGGGTAGGCGGTTGTGCCTTCTCTGTTCTCTCTTTTACCCGAAAGAGACTCCTTCCTAAGGGCTGGTACTGTCCGAGGCACAAATGAAGTAAATTACTTGCCCCTCCTACAAGGTACTTCCTGAACAGAAAGCAATATCCTTACCACTGCAGAACCAAGTCATTTTTTAACATCTCTTTTCAGTCTAATAAGATAAGGCGTTTGGGAAATGCAAGGAGAACTGGGCATCCTTTGTCCTCAATTTTGCCTCCATAGCCTTGCGGATGTTTGCCAAGGAAAGAGTTGAAGCCATGGCACAAGTAGAACCCGTATAGAAATAGGACCAGAAGCAACCCCCTGCCCCAGTAAAAGGGTAAATTGGATGGATGGCTGTTTGACCTGCCATGCTTCAGTCTGACACCATCTCTTGCCTTGGGGAAGAATCAAAATGAAATTAAGCCCCAGAAAACTTGAAGAAATGTCCCTTGCCTGTTTTGATTATTTACATGTAAACAGCCATTTGCAAAGACCATACGATGATCATGATCTTACTGGTGATTTATAGACCTGACGAATTCATAGAATGTGAAGACCCAGTGGATCATGTTGGAAATGCAACCGCATCCCAGGAACTTGGTTATGGTTGTCTCAAGGTGAGTTTTTGTTTTGTTTTATAAGCAAACTCGTCCAGAAGCATATAAAAAAAGTTACAGAAAAGTATAAGGGATATGAAGTTACCTGTTTTTAGAGTTCATTAGAATGGCCGCTATTAGAAATTTCCAGCATGGCCAGGGTCAGTGACTGAACAAGCCATTTAGTTTCCTCAGGAAGAAGCAGTCTCTGTGTCAAAACTAACCAAATGCAAAGATCAACCTGTCTTTGCTTCCTTTTACCGTCGCTATTGACAGATTTGAAGCTAAAATCTTACCTCTAACTATCCTTCAAGGCATGCACTTTCCTGAAAGACCAAAAGAAAGACTTCTGCCTTCTAAAACCGATGATTAATTGAGCAGCGTGTTTGTTACACATGCATTTGGAGCAAAGCTCCTCTTGCCAGTGACCTTTCTTTTCACCAGGCAAGCAGTTTCTACCATGTCTTTAGGAAAAAGATAGAGTCTATTAGTATGAGTCTTTGTAGGAGGTTATTGCATTCAAGGAGAACCCTTTAGTAACGATGGTCTCTTTGAATGGAGAAAAGCTATTCGGTTCCATTAATAATATCTACAGCTAGATGTACATTGCCTAGTCAGACTCTCAAAAACTAGTGAAATTCATATACTTTCTTCCCACTGTGAACTTACCATTATGTTATATTATGCTGCATAATGCAAGTCAAGACGCAGTCAGGTATAACAGAACTAAATCAGATACAGAGGAATAAACCTGAAAGTAATAAAATTAAAAAGGCAATTCATACTGTAGTCATATGTAAATAAAATATTCTCCATACAGTGAGGTTTTGTCCTATTGATAATTACTGGTAAACATTTGAGTTAGCATTGTATGAGATCACTTAATTTTCCCCCTTTTAATTAAAAACTGAATTGATCCTGTCAAAGCATTCAGACTGTCACTTCCCCAGAAGTCCTAGAGGACTGGCTGTACTCAGGCACCTGAGTCCCTGGGAGAGAGGTACAAGGAGTAAACATCTTTATTTCCTACTCCCTCCCTTTTGAGAAATCCAACAAAAATAGTAGTAAAGCACTTAATAAGGTGCCAGTAGAGAATGTATAGCTGTGCTTTCTCTTCTAGAATTCAGTTATACAAAGGGTCAAAGGTCTTGTTCTAAAAATTTTTGCTGGAATTTAAACAGGCTGTAGGTGTACTACAGATATCTGTTAATCACACGTTCGTGACCTAAATAAAGTCCTGAATCAGCTGATAATTCTGTTCTTTCCTAATTCTGCTCATTTATAATATATATAAAACAGACCTCTAATAAATGTCAACTTTTTGGCTACCCATTCCCAAATGCTCAGTAATGTGCTCTTTGTCCTGTAAATAAAGGATAATTAAAGCATTGTGTCCATCTATTCTAAATGGCATTTAGTTAATTATAAATTTTTTAACTTTATTATTAAAGAAGCCAGTCATACAGAAGAAAAATAAATGAGTTTATTTAAAGCTATGTACATTTAGGATGAACTAATTTACCGTTACTTGAAGTATGTCATTAAATTCCTTATTCTTGAGTACAGCTTTACCCGAGTCAGCTTGTATTAATTAATATAAAGATATATTTTGTGTTACTTGCTTTGGTAAATTTTTTGGTTTCTTTTGTTTTGGTTGTTATTCCACAGTTCGGTGGTCAAGCCTACAGTGATGTGGAACACACTTCAGTCCAGTGCCAAGCCCTAGAAGAAATTGAGTGTGCCGGTCCTAGGACCTTCCTACGAGAAAATAAACCTTGTATAAAGTAAGTATTACTTCGAATGGGGTAGTATGTATTTGGATGGAGGTAGAGCTGTTTCCTTGTCACCTCTTGATGTGACTTTTTCTTTTACTTTAAGTGTTAAAGGGGCAACAGGATTACCACTGTGCATAATCCATGGACAGGGGCAGTGTAGTTATAATAGAGAGGACACTGGACTTAAGACCAGAGGCCATAAGTCCTAAATGTCTCTTTCACCAACTAGCTAAGAGACTCTTTGGGCACCAAGAGTCTCTGTCCCCTCATCTACAAAATGAAGTAGTTGGACCAGAGGATCTAGCTACAGAATTCCTATAATGGGCATAAATCCTGTGAAAATAGCCTTAGTATTCCAGGAATAAAGATTTTATCATGAACAGTATGGGCCTCTCCCTGAAAATCAGTTTATCTTAAAGAATTAGGATTATTTCTGTAAATTCTGCTTGAAGGCACAGAATTTACTTATACCATTGCTAATGAAGAGTCTGTGACTATGTTTAGTGATGTTATTAGAGTAACTGCAATTGAGTATCATTACAGTATGTAAGAGAGAAGTCTTTATGAAGATGTCCCTGTTTTTAGTTGCCACAAGACAGTAAAAAAAAAAAGGTATATGGAGATCAGCATTCATTTAAGGAAGGTCGACACTTCATTAGAGAACTACGTTCAGAAATACAAACTCAGGAGAGGAGCCTGTGCAGGGGATAAATGGGAGCCCAGACTCCACTCCTACCAGGATGCCTATTGTGCTAATGTGCTTGATAATTTCTCGTCCAGTCCAACTCAGCACTTGTTCTTACAGGTCCTCCATATCTTAGCAATTATGCTTTTGAGACTCAAGCCCAGCGGGAATTTTTTAAACACGCAGTACCTGACTATTTAGTCAGAAGCACAGACCTCTTTTCCCTAGATTGTCAAATAAAAAATATGACAACAGCCAACACAACAATAGCTATCCAATGTGAATGAATCAAAATTATATTTTTTTTATATATTTTTTTTTTTGTCAGATTGGCAAAAACTAAAATTTTCTGGTGTACTGAAGAATTTAGTAATTAGTTTATGTGTGCCATGAGATGAAAAGGCTGAAAATTGCTGCCCTAGACCAACAAGAGATCTATTTTGAGGGGGCGGGGGGTGATAAGGGAGTAAAAGGCCACAGGGGGACTGGCTACACCATCTTTCCACTTTCTTTAAATTTATTGATCATTAAGAGTTTTAATTTTCATGTGGCAAACATCTTACTTGTAATTCCTTTTGTCTAGGTATACCGGACACTACTTCATAACCACTTTACTCTATTCTTTCTTCCTGGGATGTTTTGGAGTGGATCGTTTCTGTCTGGGACACACTGGCACAGCAGTAGGGAAGCTATTGACGCTTGGAGGACTTGGGATTTGGTGGTTTGTTGACCTTATATTACTTATTACTGGAGGGCTGATGCCAAGTGATGGCAGCAATTGGTGCACTGTTTACTAAAAAGAGCTGCTGTTATGGTCCAGAGAGGCAAGTCTTCTGAATTCATCTCTACAAGCTCAAAACTCTTCCTTGCTATTAGATCTGACCATTTCTTGCCCTCTTTGGAGGGAATGGGTTTGGTTAGGAAGGTTTCTTTGGACTGTGGATTTTCAGCCCAGATTTTACCTTGCTGATAAGAAATGACAGTGTTGTGGGAACCAAGTTTATACCTTTTCTCACGTACAAAATATAAAGGCCAGCAACTAACTTATAAGCTGTGGAAGGGTTTCTATACTCTTTATTTCTGCACATGGCTGTATCTTCAGTCTTTTGGAGCAAGTGGACCCGACCGAATGAGCAAAGTGAATATTTTTAGCCTTATGCCTTTTGTGACCCTTAGTCTCATGCACAGAACTGAAGCGAAACCAATGAAAATCTTCAGCAGAAGTAGAAATGCTCATGGATTATAATACACACTGAAATTCCAACTTTCTGAATTTAAACTGCAAAATAAATTTTGTCAACCTGGAATGCTGTTTGGGTATTCTCAGTATGTAAAGTGAAACTCAAAATTATATTTGTTTCACTAAAAGCTAGATGATTGAAGTGAACTACTCTATTAATAAACCTTACTGTTTCACCATTGTTATGTTTGAGAAGCAATGTATGCGTAGAAATATAAATATACAAAGAAATAATGTTTCATTCCATTTATGGTTTGAAAGCCAATAGTATCAGACCTGTCTGGGTTAGGATATCCTCTTGGCAGAATTTTCCTATCTAAAAAGTCAAAAGTTTAGAGAGTCCATGTTGTAGGCTGGTAAAAAAGATTTCATACAAGTAACTATAAAACTGTTCTTCATGATTAGGTAGGATAAGGTGAGGAGTATCGTGCTCTTGGAAAGAAAAACAGACTCCTACTTAAAGGATATTATTACTGAGTGCTGGGTAGATTTAGAGTGTCATTCATGGGGAGAAAGACACTAGCTCTTTCTGTCGAAATAAGCCGGTCCCAGAAGCTCTCGCTGTGGTAAATAGCAGTCAGTGTAGAGAAACCAAGCTTTCACATTCCCAAATTACTGGGAATAAAGGAAATGCTTTAAATAATACGTGGTTTTAAAAACTTAGCTCCCATCCTTTTCAATCCAAGTTGAAAACTTAAATACAAAGTAAAAGGAGGACTTTATAGATAAGTCAAATTAAGATTCTGCTATTTGCAATAACTTACAAATTCTAGAAACAGTCAAAGTAGAACTGCTCAAAGTTTAGTTTCATAATAATTGACTTAAGGACCAAGAATTGCAGTTAAAATAACTGTGGATTTGCTCTATCATTATAAAACGGCTTTTCTAAAAGTTTCAGCTTTATTATCCCTGAGTAGTATGATCACTGTTTCTATATTATTAAATGGTGGCAGTAATATAAATATTAGAAAAGATTATTCTGTCTTCAAAGTTCTGTACCACATTGACCTCAATCTTAGGTTTTTATTCATAATCTCTATATTATATGTAAGGCAGTGTTTTTTAAATTATTGGTCATGTGAAACTGGACCCTCTCCACAGAAAAATACACAAACACATAAAATTTTGCATAGATTTTTAAGGGGGTCTAACAGTAGTATACAAAAAAAAAATAAAACAAAATAAAAAGCAAGCTCACTTCTAAGAGAAGTCCAGAAAACAAATTAAAATCTTACCCAAAATAATATACTACCTTAAGCCACAAATTTTGCCTCATTTCACAACTTTCTTGTTAATTTGACTTATAAATCATATCCGTCCTCTGTAGCCACGAACCCTGGCCAAATGTGATACAACCTGAAAAACTGATTGCGTAGGGGAATCATATTAAAAATTTGATGTCCTTGCACTCTGGATTCAGGTTGTTTCTTAATATTTGGGAGATAGACGTGTGTGTGTGTGTGTGTGTGTGTGTGTGTGTGTGTGTGTGTTCATGATCCTTCGCTTCCTGACTCCACCTGTGACCAGGGACCCTCCCTGGGACTGGGGAGAGGGATGACTGTGGATGCTGAGCTCCTGGCTGTGACAGGGCCAGATGAGCTGTTCAAAAAGGTGGTGCCTCACCACTACCTGGGCTCCCTTTGGTCCCAGCTGGACAAGAAGAGCAAGGACCACCTGGCTCCCACTGTCCATGCCACCAACACTCAGTTCAGCAGTGTGGCCAACTGCTTCAAGGACCAGAGTGTGACAGCCAGAGCCAGGGCCAGGGCCCGGTGTGCCATGGGAGAGCACAGGGTCCCTCTGCAGAATTGTGGAAACTCCTTTTTTGTTGTGGAGGACAAGGGTTCCTTTCTTCCTCAAGCCAGCCAGCTCATCCCTACAAAGCCAAGCTCCTTTGGTCTGCACTGCACTTCAAGGGGCGAACACCCTCCTGCTCAGGGACCAGGCACCCCAGGGGATGCCCAGACTTTGGCCCAAATGGCCAGACCCAGGAGGCAGGGCTGGGTGCACCATGGGACCCCCACTCTGTGTGTGTGTGTTATATCCAGTTTGTGGCTATAGAGAATTTTTAAAATACTAAAGTGTCCTTCTGTCAAGGTCAAATTAGAAACTCCTGTTTTTCAGTTGTTCCTTTCTTTAAATAAAATTTTATCAGCTTCCCAAACTTCCTGGCACCACATCCTTCTTCCACTTGTTTAGTAAAGCTTCTTAGCAGTAGTAACACTCTCATCCTAATGGTCCCCTAGTGTGTGTCTGTGTCTGTGTCTGTGTCTGTGTCTGTGTGTGTTTAAGCATTCATATTCCTTTATAAGAAAGAGATCCTAAAACCATTAGTCATCTTTGATACATCTTCAATACAAACCAGGTAATATAGCTTTGGTTTTGTTAGATAATTTCTCTTTAAAGCAAGATACTTAATCGATTATTTCAGGTGTAATTGTCAGGACCAAAGTTTGACTTCCCCGACGAACCATGATGGAAAGAGAGTCATTGTTCTTAACAGCTTCAATAACATCAGTTGTGGTGGTAACAGGTTGCCCATTTATGCTGACAATTACGTCGTGGTCTCTCAACCCAGAGCTGGGAGGGGGGAAAAAAGGAGCATGAAACTCAGAGTTTTATTTATCCCAGCTAGAATTTAATGTCTGTTTCTTACAGCACTACTATTTTTCTGGTAGAAAACATACCAACCAGAAAACCAGAAATAGCCCCAGTCCTTTCAAATATGAGGACTGTTCTAAGATATGCTGTGAAATAACCTGGAGGACAGCAATCCTATTTACCTTTATAAAATTAATATTCTACCACAATGAAGTGTAAGAAGGTTACTCCTCCCAAATATTGGATTTGGTTTGGAATAGGAGTTTAGCTTTTAATTTCTATTAATCTCTGACCTCTCTTAACCTCAAGCATACTCCCAGTCTTACAAGCAACACGAAAAGCCCAAGCAATACATTTTTTCCCCAGACAGCTACACTCTGGTCAGTTTGATTTTGACAGCCTACTTTGCCCACCTTCAGCCACACTTTACGGAACAAGAGAGTTTGTTGAGCTACACTATTAAAAGCTCTGCTCCCAGTAAGTCAAAAACTAATCAACCTTCCACATCTAAATATTTAAGGCCCTGGTTCTAGACTCCTTTTCCCCAAAGGTGTAACTGTATTCAGTCCTCTTTATATTTGCTTCACATAGAATGTATATCTTAGAAATAGAAACCACCTCCAACACTGTCGTAAATATATAGCCATGCTGTTGATTTGTCTTAAAGTCAAAAATAGGCTGGAAGAGGAACATAAAATTAAATGACTCCAGGACACATCTTTTAAGAGAAATGGGAAGCCCAAGGAAGAAGAATATGGAGGATTACCAAGATATGTCCAGTTTGTTTAAAAAAAGAAAAGAAAGAAAGAAAAATGTAAAGCAAGAGGATGTGAAGAGAAGTTTGAAGGCAGATTGAGTTAAAAGTATGGAAAGCCTTTAGAACAAGGTTAGTTCAAGAAGATGACTGGGACAGTGCACAAAGAAAGAACTTAATTCATGGTAGTTCTGTGAGTGGAAAAAGAAAGAAACCTGCAAATTGTTACTGAGTGCAAACTATGTACCAAATACGAGGAAGTGAGGCTCAGACAGGATAAATGTCCCACAGTTTATAAAAGGCTAAAGTAGGATTTGATCCCTGGTCTTTCAGACTTGAAAACCCATCTTCTTGCCACTCAATCAGTCTGCCCCTCAGAAGCAAGAAGAGCAGCCACAAAAGCAGGATAATAGAGGGGCTAAGTTAGGTTCCACTTCCCTGCTATCTGACTGACTGTGTGACTCTGTCCTCTGCACCACAGCTGCTGCTTCTGTAAAATAATACCTATATCATAAGACTACATTGGGCTCAAGCCAAGTATGTAAAACACTTCAGATGGTGCCTGACTTATAGTAAGGGGTTAATAAATGCCAGCCTTTATTTCTATAATTATTGTGATTATTATTAGATATCAGTGGATAGAACCAAAACAGATTTCTGGTTTAGCTGTGACATCAACCAATCAGTTATTTTCGCATTTTAATGTGCATCCAAATCATGAAGATCTAATTTAAAATGCAGTTTCTGATTTGGTGGTGGGCCTGCCATTCTAATGAGCTCCAGTGGATGCTGATGCAGCTGGTCCACAGACCCCGTCTGAGGAGCAAGAACTTGGAGAGCTGAAAGAAATAGCTTTGGCCTTGAACCAGAAGTTAAAAATGGGGGGGGGGGGGGGGGGGGGGAGTCTAGAAAATCCTGTGACAAGCCAAGTTTAGTAACATGAGACCTAACACTTAGCTATTCTGAACAGGTAGCACCCTGCAGTTCCTTGCCCCCTACTAAAGAGAGTTATCATAATCTAAACAGATGATTGAGCTCTTGAAAAACAACCATAGTAAAAGAGATCCAGAAGAATAATTGTTGGACAAGCCACCTCTTCCCTCGGCAGTTAGTGTAAATGCTTGAAACAACAGTCAAGTCATCTGGAGCATCTTCTTTGGAGAGCTACTCTAACCTTTGCTTTATTCACTTCATGTATTCCTTTGTTGATTTGTTTATTTACTTAGTGCTGCCCTCTGATACTGTCATCTAGAATTCAAAGATAAAAGTATTTTAAAATGTGTTCTTATACTTTTGACCTTTTGGATTCTTTGGATTCTTAATAACTAAAGTATTGAAAGAGTAGACTTGGAGATCCTAGCAAAATTAATTTAAATTTAGGCTGTTATATCATCATTCTTGGCCTAAAGAGAACAATCCCCTTCCCAAAAAGGAGGCGGGGGAGGACCCTTACAGTACACAAGTCTAAATTAGCATTACTATCTAATAAATATGTAAGGCAAGACACAGGTCATAAGTAATTTTAAATTTTCTGGTAGCCACATTTTTTTCACAAAATTTTAAACAGATGAAACCAATTTTAATAATCTTATTTAACTCAATATATCTAAATTATCATTTTAACATGTAATATTTTAATAATTATTACCATGTATTTTACGTTCTGTTTTAAGTCTTTGAAATCTATTAGAAATGCCCTGGCTGGTTTGGCT